CCAGTAAAATCTTTCACAACGACGCATTAGCAAACGATACTGGCTCCATTCCATGATTGTGGATCGAAACGAGAAGAACAGGAAAAAATCCACCTTTTAAAGATGCATCCTTGTATTGAATTTAGTTTACACTACTGTTAGCATAATAAGTAGTAATATGAATAGTGATGGCAATAATTGTCATAAACGATGAAATAGGTTTGATTTGTAAATTGACTAAAGTTGAAATGTCCCCTTAAAAGGGCTGCTTCTGACTGACCATTAAACCATCTATTGAGTGTGGCCTGGAAAGGTTCATTCCGTCCTACTTTCAGATCACATAATCCATAATTTTCGGGATCAAGTAGAAGACCCATCCAGTTTTGGCTTAGTGAAGACATCAAATCCATTGTGAGTTAAGCGAGATACACTAAAAAAATGTTTGCTACCTGCAAAATACTGGTTAGAACTATACTGGCCACAAAAATAAGCGTCTTAATTTAAAATATTAATTTTCCGGCACAGTCTAGCTTCGCAGTAAATGCAGGCCAGATCAGAGAAGTCTTGCAGAAGACTCTTCATACAGCTTTCTTGTGTGCCTCGTTGCCGAGTTCACAACCGCGTCCATAGACCCGAGGCAGAGGAAAAGCGTCTGTAATTTTGATCGCTGAGCTAGTCTAAACAAAGTTTTGGTCTGGGAAAAACTATGGAAAAGAGGGATGGGAGCGATGAATGTTGATCACAATTTTCGCCTACAGACATACCTGCTCCTTATCGAGAGTGGGAATAGTGTGCCAAATCTCTCTCTCTCTCTCTCCCTCACAGTCCATTCGACTTTATTTAAATGCATTTGATGCTTTGGGGAAAACATTTTCACTAATTCTCTCGCCTTTTGGTGTTTTCAATCACAATTTTCTCCTGTGTCTCGGTACGTATGCTTTGGTTTAAGCATCCCACTGGGTTTACGGTAGAATTGTATCGGTTTATATTGCATAGACAGCAACTGGGGGACCGGAAGGCATACATTACACAACATGCAAATTCACTTTAACCAAGTATCCCTAAATGTGCATCCACGGTTGAAGCGGTGATGGAACTGCTGATGAGACACGGACGCGGGGTCGAACATTGGCGGACTTGAGCAGATTTGCTGACTTTGTTGAATGCAGCTGCGACACATTTGTAGTATTTTCAGAATTTGTAGCTAAGCAATCACAAAGTCAACTTCCTGACAAATATGTGGCCGAAAAAAGAGATAAAATAGAATGATAAGAGATGCCAACAAGTTATAAAGTAAGGAATAAAATGTGAAAGCGATGAAATGTAAAAAAGACAAGTTGCGGCAACGATAGTAAAAGTACCAAGTAAAAGTAACATAAAATGTTGTTAAAACCTTGACTGAAAAGCATAATTAAGATATATTTATTGTTTCTAAATCTACTTACATTGAATATAAGTAGCATAGTCTATAAAAATGACAAAATACAAATTTGCCTGGTTAAAAATTCCCTTATAGAGTGTCATCGAAGAGAACTGACATTCCTTGCAATTGACAACTGTTCTGTGCACCAGGGGCAGTATGGTTTTGTGGTGACATGTCGAACTTATTCACGTAACCACGATAATCCAGGTTCGAGTCCGGCCGACGGTGCATATGAGGCGAGTTTGAAAGATGCCAAAACTGCGGTTCGGTCCAGCCGGAATGAGAATCCCTTTTTTGGAAGAGAAGCTGTGCAGCTTTGAGGTTTATTGAAATGATTGTGGGAAAATTCATCATTCGCTTTATGAAACCCGGGATAAGTACAGATGCTATTCAA